GGGCCGTCGGAATGCCGAGAAGAAGCAAATGCCCAAATCCTTCAAACACCTAAGGAAAAACAATGATTTTGGCCTCTTCGGGCCTTCCTGGAGGACCCCTTGGAGGCCTCTTGGGTTCAGGCTATTTTAGGCCGTCTAGGGTACATCTTGGGCCGTCTTGGAGGCATCTTGGGGCCATCTGAGCCGTCTAGGAGGCCATCTTGGCCATCCTGGACGCCTTCTTGAGCTGTCTTGGAGGATTGTTTGTGGACGTTGCGGTCCTGGAAGAGCCTCCCGGGACCCCGGCGGGACGGGCCGAAGCCCCAGGGGGAGTTCTTTTGTAAAAAGAACCAGAACCAAAACCGAAAGGGTCCAGCACGCCAGGCACCCCTGCGATGAATCGACAGGGGGCGGCGGATCGAAGACGCCTACGGCGAATCACCGCCGCCCCCTGCCTTTGTGGAAGCGCCTGTGTGGCCGACAGCTGGGCTAGAGCTTGGCCAAGCTATCGGACCATGTGTTCCCCGAGTCGGTTCGGAAAACCTTCCGGGAACACGTGGGCATCTTGAACGTCTTCTTGGAGGACGTCTTGGCCCTTTCGGGCCTTCTTGGAGGACGTCTTGGAGGTCTCTTGGGCCCTCTGGGGGCGCCTCGGGGCAGTCTTGGAGGCCATCTTGGGCGTCTTGGAGGCCTCTTGGGCCGTGTTTGGGCCCTCTTGCGGCCGTCTTGGGCCGTCTTGGGGCGCTCCTGGAGGCCTCTTGGGCCGTCTTGGGGCGCTCTTGGAGGCCTCTTGGGCTGTCTTGGAGCGTCGGGAAGCTGAAAAGGCAAAAAACCAAAATCCTTCCCAAACCATCGTGAAGTGGACGATTTGGGCCTCTTCGGGCCCTCCTGGAGAACCTCTTGGAGGCCTCTTGGGCCGTCTTGGGCCGTTTTGGAGGCTTCTTGGGCGAACTTGGAGGTATCTTGGACCCTCTTGGGCCGTCTCGGAGGCCGTCTTGGACCATCTTGGGTGGACTTGGAGGCCATCTTGGACCATCTTGGAGGCCATCTTGGGCCAACGTGACCATCCTGGAGGCCATGTTGGGCCGTCTTGGAGGAAGAATTGGGATTGGGCGATGGCGTGTGCGTCTTGCGGGTCTTGGGGGGCGGCCGGCGGGACGGGCCGAAACCCATTGGGAGAGTTCTTTTGGAAAAAGAACCAAAACCAAAACCGAAATCATCCAGCACGCCAGGCACCCCTGCGATGAATCGACAGGGGGCGGCGGATGACGGAAAGCGCGCGTTAGCGTGCGGTCCGTCAGTCGGAAGAAATTGGACTTGGGGGAGTTCGAGGGGGGCGGCATCGCCAGTCCCGGATCTAATTGCCCTCCCGCTTCGTTTTTTATCGAGTAGGACGGCCTTCGGATCTTCAAAGCAGCGTTTCGCTCGAGACATCATCGGAAAACGCGTCTTGGGCGCTTCTTGGGCCGTCTTAGGCGCCTAAGACAGCCCACGAAGCGGCCAAGACGGCGCCCAAGACGGCCCAAGACGGCCCAAGAAGCGCCCAAGACGGCCCAAGAGCGCTCCAAGAGAGCCCAAGACCGCCCAAGGCGGCCCCAAGACGTCCCAAGAGGCCTCCACGATGCCCCAGGAGGCGCCCACGAGGCGTCCCAAGAGGGCCCCAAGAGTCCAAAATCATTGATTTTCTTAAGGAACACGTGCATTTTTAGCATATACGGCTTTTCGCCTTTCATGGCGTTGAAGACGGTCCAAGAGGCCCCCAAGACCGCCGACGGCCCAAGACGGCGCCAGGACGGCCCCAAGAAGGCCCCCAAAGGCCCCCAAGAGGGCCCAAAGACGGCCAAAGGCAGCCTAGTCCCTTCACCCCCGCAGCCCAGAAGCTCCCAGGAGGCCCCAAGAGGCCCCCGAAAAGCCCCAAAAGGTCCCCACCCAAGGGGCTCCCCAAGAGCCCCCCAAGAGGCCCAAAATACTCCCAAAGGCGCTTAGCACCGCGGCTCCCAAGAGCGAGCGGTGACGTAATCGAGCTGATAAGACCAAAGCTCCCAACAGAGAGCTGCGGCGTAATAAGTTCTTGACGCCATGGCACAGGGACGGGCGGCAACGCGTGGACAACGAGCGGTCCACGCAAGGAAAACGCGGGGTTCTGGAAAGCTGGCAGCCCAAACGCGGAAAACGCAACGCGACCCGACCGCCCCCTCCAAAACAAGAAACGCGCTCAAAGAAAGCTCCGCGACTCTCCGAGGCTGAGATAGGACAAGAGCGAGGGGAAGGGAGTCAATAAGAGGTGTAAGAGCGGACGAGCCAGCGATCTCGTGCGCTCTGAAAGTAAGTGCGCTTTCCGTCCCCGTGCCAAGCAGGTGACGGAAAGAGCGAGGTACGAGCGAGTGACGTTGAGTAGGGGGCGAAGCCCTTCTTAGGGGGGGTCCAGAGGGGGTGCGAGGCGCGGACGCCTGGTCTAATAGCCCGTTTCCCTTGTATTTTTTCGAGTGAAGCGGCTCCCGGGCGGCTCCCATGGCCGTTTCTTCCCCAGACGGGCCCAAGACGGCCCAGAGGCTCCAAATATCGTCCCAAGACGGCCCCGGAGGCGCCCCAAACGGGCCCCAAACGGTCCAAGAGGGCCCCCAGACGGGCCCAAGACGGCCTAACAGGCCCCAAAGATCATCCCAAGACGGCCCCAGAGGCGCCCCAAAGGGGCCCAAAACGGCCCAAGATGGCCCCCAGACGGTTCCAATACGGCCAAGAAGGCCCCGAAGGCCCTAAGAGAGCCCAAGAGGGCCTCAATAGGCTCCCCAGCGCGCCCGAAGAGGAGGAGGGGGAGGTGGAGGAGGAGGAGGAGGAGGAGGAGGAGGAGGAGGAGGAGGAGGAGGAGGAGGAGGAGGAGGAGGAGGAGGAGGAGGAGAGGGAAGAAGAAGAAGAAGAAGACGAATCATAATAATACGAATAATAATAATAATAATAAGAAGAATACTAATAATATGAATAATAGTATGAAAAATAATAATAATAAGAACAATAATAATAATACTAACAAGACAAATAATCATAATAATAAGAAGAAGAATACTGCGAATAAGAAGAAACATACTAATAATAATAATAATAATATTAATAATAATAATAGTAATAATATTAAGAAGAAGACGAATAAGAATAATACGAATAACAATAAGAATAATGCTAACACTAATAAGAAGAGTAATACTACGAAGACGAAGACGAATACTAATAATACTAATACTAATATGACTAATAATAGCAATAAAAATAATGATGCTAATAATAATAGGACGAATAATCGTAACAATAATAAGAATAAACTAAGAAGAGGAATAAGCAGACGAAGAAGAAGAGGAGGAGGAGGAGGAACGAGGACGAGGCCAAGGGAGAGGAGGGAGGTAGAAGGAGGAGGGGGAGGAAGAGGAGGAGGAAGAGGAGGAGGAGGAGGAGAAGGAGGAGGAGGAGGGAGGAGGAGGCGGAGAGAGGAGGAGGAGAGGAGAGGCGGAGGCAGCGGGAGAGGAGGGAGGAGGGAGGGAGGAGGAGGAGGAGGGGAGGAGAGGAGGAGGAGGAGGAGGAGAGGGAGGAGGAGGAGGAGAGGAGGAGGAGGAGGAGGAGGAGGAGGAGGAGGAGGAGGAGGAGCGATGGGTAACGTAACAAGCTCTCAACGCCAAGCCTCGCAGTATGAACGGTGGTGTGAGTAACTTCGGTTAATGTGTTTGTGGCGCTCTTTCCGTTTCCGTGCCGGCCCAGGTCTAATGGCCTTCAGCCCATCCTGCTACCGTGCCTGGGTTAGGGGTCATAGGTCTCTAGGGTACTCGTCGAGATGTCGCGGGAGGTCTCTCCCGGGTCTCTCGGGGGCCGTTTTGAGGCCTCTTGGGGGCCTCTTGGGGCGTGTTCGGGGCCTCTTGGGGGTCTCTTGTGGCCTCTTGAGGGGCCTCTTGGGGCCTCTTGGGGCCTCCTTGTGGCCTCCTGGGGCGGAAGATGCGGATTTTCTGTTCGTGTTCCCCCTCTTGGGCCCTTCTTGGGGCTGTCGTTGGGCCCTTTTGGGCTGTCTTGGGCGCCTCTGGGGCCGTCTTGGAGCACTCTTGTGCCGTGCTGGGTCCCTCCTGGGGGCCTCTTGGGCCTTCTCTGGGCGCTCCTAGGGGCCTCTTGGGCCGTCTTGGAGAGTCGGGAGTCCGACAAGTCAATGAATTTGCCCTCTCGTGGCCCTCTTTGGGAGGCTCTTGGGGCTCTATTGGAGCGTCTCGGTGAGCTGTCTTGGGGCTATCCTGGGCGTCTTGGTGCGATCTTTGGGAGTCTCTGGGCCCTCTGGGACCGTCTTGGAGGCCTCGTGGGGCCCTCTTGGCCCGTCTCGGGACCCTCGTGGGTCCGAAAAAATCAAGCGAGCAGACTCGCCGGATCCCCGACAAGCTGCGGGAAGCCCCGGGAGAATTGAGAATTTGGGCTCCGGGGGCTGAGGTTTAAATGATTACGTAGGCAAAGGACCTGAGGACACCCACACCGTGCCCAGCGACACGGTGGCGGATGAGAAGGATTCTTCTTGGGCGTTTACAACAGACCTAAGAGATAAAGCACATGTTTCCGATGCGGAACGATACCTGTTCGGCGTTCTGATTGAGATGCTGCTTTCTAGAGGGCGTCAGCGTATACGGGATCCAACGTGAGCTAGTCAAACGTGGAAGAGAGACGTGGACTGGCACGAGTGGTAGAATCAAGCGAGCAAATCTAGCCGTGCTCTCGGATGCTTGGTGAAGGCAAAAACTGTCAACGTGAAAGCGGTGCCTTCTGCCGTCCACAGGGGGCGGCGCATTCGCCAGAAAGAAGCAGGCATAACATGTCCTTGGGACGAATGCCCCCCCTCTGGAGCTGGGTGGCCTCGAGCCGTGGTTCTCTTGGCGATGGCAAATCACCTTCGCCAAGCCTCCATGCGTCCAAAACGCCTTCGTCGCCCCCTCCCTCCGTCCATGGCCGTCCTCGCTGCGACCTCCCAGAGAGCTTTCATCAACAGACGGTGCTGGTTAGAGGCCCGACCTGGTGATGCAGCACTTCTCGAAGAGCTACGTGTCAACACCCTGTAGCTGCAGATATGATAGGAGTGGTGATGCCGTGGCGCTCTAAGCGCACGGTAGTAGTTGTTTGCCGTCAAAGCGGAAGTAGCGGAGCCATTCAATTTTTCACGCTTCGCGTATCCCCACCTGGCCCGGCACAGAAACGGAAAGAGCGCTTCAGAAACAGAAACCGAAATTACTCACACCACCGTTCGTGTTGGGAGCCTTGGCGTTGAGAGCTTGTTACGTCACCCCTCGCTCTTGGGAGCCTTGGTGTTCAGAGATTGTTGCGTTGCCGCCCGTTCCTGAGCCTTGGCTGGGCCTTGGTGTCAGGAACTTGTTACGTCACCGCTCTCTGCTGGGAGCCTTGGTCTTATCAGCTTGTTTACGTCACCGTTCGCTCTTGGGAGCCTTGGTGTGAAGAGCTTTTTGCGTTACCGATCGCTCTCTATTTGGCGTCTCTGGGCCTTCTTGGGAGTCCTATTGGGGCCCTTGTCGGGCCCTTTTGGAGGCCTCTTGGGAACCTCTTGGGGGCCTCTTGGGGCTTCTTGGGCGAAAGGCTAGACTTTTCGGTTCGTGGTCCCCCTCTTGGGGCCGTCTTGGGGCCTTCTTGGGCCGTCTTGGGCGCCTCTTGGGCCGTCTTGGCGCCCTCTTGGGCCGTTTTGGGGGCCTCTTGGGAGCCTCTTGCGCCGTCTTGGGGCGGTCTTGGGGGCCTCTTGGAGCGTCTTCAACGCAGTGAAAACCGAAAAGCCTTGTATGCTAAAACTGTACCTTTTTTTCTATAGGAAATCAATGATTTTCGCCTCCCGGTGGCCTCTTGGGACGCCTCTTGGGGGCCTCTTGGGGCTTCTTGGGGGGCTCTGGGGGCCTCCTGGGAGCGTCTTGGGGCGAACAGGCTAGACTTTTCGGTTCGTGGTCCCCCTCTTGGGGCCGTCTTGGCGCCCTCTTGGGCCGTCTTGAGCGCCTCTTGGGCCGTCTTGGGGCCCTCTTGGGCCGTTTTGGGGGCCTCTTGGGAGCCTCTTGGGCCGTCTTGGGGCGGTCTTGGGGGCCTCTTGGGCCGTCGTCAACGCCGTGAAAGCCGACAAAGCGCATATGCTAAAAATATACGCCTTGCTTTTTGGAAAATCGATCATTTCGGCCTCTTGGGACCCTCTTGGGACGCCCCTTGGGCGCCTCTTGGGGGCCTCTTGGGGGCCTCTTGGGCCGTCTTGGGCGGTCTTGGGCTCTCTTGGAGCGCTCTTGGGCCGTCTTGGGGGGGAACCCGAAAACCATGCAAAAACCTGAGGGAAAACCCGAAAACGGCCATTAACACTCAAATGCGCACGCGACCCCCCTCCCCTGGAACCCCTCCCTTTAGGGCGTCGCCCACACCAGAACGTCATCACTCGTACCTCGCTCTTTCCATTACCAGCCCATTGAGAAAGTTTGCCCATTAGAGTTGATGGGAAAAGGGGCGAGGAGACACACACACATATGTATGTATGTATGTATGTATGTATGTATGTATGTATGTATGTATGTATGTATATATATATATAGTGAGACGAAGCGGGCAACCAGGATGAACAGAGAAATCTCTGGGAGCAAGGGGGTGGCCTTGGAGGGCTTCTTCGGGCCATCCCTGGGGCTCGCGTGGGGGCGATGGAAGGAAGAGGAGGAGGAGGAGGAGGAGGAGGAGGAGGAGGAGGAGGAGGAGGAGGAGGAGGAGGAGGAGGAGGAGGAGGTCCGTAGCCATTTTGGCTCAAGGCTAAACGGAGGACGCTAAAGTAACATAGCTGACTCTGATTAGCTTTGGCCCTTCCGTCGTCCGTTCTCGAACGTCCTGGGGTCTGTGATCTTCCTTCTCTGCTGCCTGCCTCTGCTGGCGGCTGCACCCTTTCCATCTACTTCACAACGCCGTTCTGGCCCACATACCTGCCAGCGCGCGCCCCGCCTGGCGCCGCGCGCATGCCTGATGAGCCTGCGGCATCCATCCGCTCGCGCTCTCCGCAGGAGGTCAGAGGCGACCGCGTCCGTGGTGGCCGTGGTCATGGCGCTCCTGGTGAAGGGTGTGCTGCTGACTCTCTGGCGGGCTCTGGTGACCCCTGGGCTGCTGCTGCAGGAGCGAACTCTCGTCGAGTCCCTGCCGCCGCTGACGCTACCAGTGGGACAGCTACGCCCCCGGCGACTGCATGCACCTCCTCCCAGCCGCTGGCTCAAGGAGACCTTGACGACTACTTCGCGGCCTACAAGTTGGAGGTTGCTGCCACGATCGACGCAAAGTTCAACTCCATCCGAGGGGCTGTGGTCAAGGACGTCACGGACCACACTGAGGGCTTGGTGCGCGCCGTCGCCGCCCGCCAGGAGAAGGTCAACATCCAGCTCCGGGGGGAGATCAACGAGATGCAGCAGCGGATTGCCACGTCGGAGAAGCAGCAGCTGGCCTTCTCGGAGCAGCTGGAACAGATGCGGGCGGCTCTCTACGTGGCGGAATCAACAATCACGGTCAAGGACCTGGACGGACATGCAGAGTGGGACAGGGCGCCAGACACGGGCATTCTGGTGGCGAACACCACGGCCAATGTGGATCGAGAGGTACTCAGTGGTGTCCTGGCGCCGTGGCTCCGTGAAGCAAAAACACATGATGATGACTGGAAGCTGCTCGGATCGACCCCATCGAGGCGCTTCATCATCCAGTTCAAAGGTGACATCAACTCGGCCACCAGGAGGGCGCAGGCGGCAAGACATCGCGGGTGCATGGAAACAATTTTCGGTCAACACGATTGAGGGTGGCGAGTCGGGAGTCTTCGTGGGAATGGACAAATCACCGAAGCAAGTACGAATATATATACAAACCAAAGCCATGGCTGCTGCGGTACGCGAGCAATTCCCAAACCTTCGGACTCGGCATGATCGCCAACGTGGAGTTGTATTCTTGGATGGTTCCCCTTGCGTGCAGGTACAGGTGGGAAATGAGAGAGATGATATCACACGTCTTTTATGGAACTATTCCCTCGTGCAAAAGCATGTTGTCAATAAGGACGAGCTCACGGCTGCGTTCAATAACAAGCTCCACACGGAGGAGAGAGTTCAGTGGCAAATTTAGCAGGACTCTCAACACATGGCATGAGAAGCTACGAGAGCGGCCTTTGCAGGAGATAAAGTTCGTGACGTGGAACACCCGTGCCCTCCTTCACCACAAGCCAGACATTCGCCGCAAGAAGGCCGCCAAGCTCAAATCGTTATGCAAAGGTGCTGGGGTAGTTGCACTGCAAGAGGTGCGTGGATCTCGGCCTGACATGCTCAGGCTCCCCTACGACCTCCAGATCAAGGCGGCGTGCTTCTCCTCTCTGCATGCGCACGATGCTGGAGGTGCGGTCACGCTGCTGCCGCAGATGACACAGGCCGAGGCTGATGAAGCGGTTCGTGATGAACGGATAAGAGTATCTGAGCTGGTCCCTGACAGGGCTCTACGAGTTGCGATCAAGGCCCGTGCTGATGATGAGCGACCTGACACTATGCTGGTGGTATACAATGTGCACAACTTTGGTCTTACGGCTCAGCAGGTTTCTTCTATTTCCTCTCGTATTTCGGCGGAGGCGGATCAAGCGGCACTGCAGCCGCATAAGATGACTGTGATTGCCATGGGCGACTTCAACTACACGGAGACGGCCCCGATGCACTTGCACGTACCTGAGGTCGACAAGGGGCTGATCATACCTCCGAGGCACAGGGGGCATGCCGATATATGGGCTGCGGCAGTGAGCGAGATGACGGAGTTGGATCCAGAGCCGCCGGCGCACTATGCTCATGATGATCAACGACTTTCTCAGCTTGACAAAGTTATGATAAGCACGCCAGGGTGGTTACTTCTTCAATGGTCACTCAGTGCGACGGCCATGCAGTACCCTGAGGAGCTCTTCAAGCAAGGTGTGTCCGACCATGCGCCGCTGTGCATCACCCTCGGCTCGCGGCCTCAGAAGGCGGTGGAGGACCAGGCGCTGCCGCGCTTCGTGTGTCAGGCTCCCGAGTACAAACAATATCTCAACCTCCTCCTCCAGCATTCGGATCTGATGAAATTGCCGACGATTGCGAAATTGGCTGAGTACAAACGTCTGCTGAGGGAAGCGGCTCGCCTGACCAGGAATAGGCTAGTGAGTGCTAGAACGCCCCCGTTGGAAGCCAAGATGATCATATTCCGATATAGATCGAGGGATGTGCATTTTAACCTAGCGAATCTGGTTCGGACCCTTCTTGCGACCACGTCGGTTGCGTCGGAGTTTTTGGAGATTTCGGATGACAATGCTGCTTCTCTTTCTTGGCAGATGAATTTTAGGAGGCAGTATGAACAGCTTCAGCGGGATCTTGCGGGGGACCGCGTGAACCGTGCTGAAACTGCTCTGAAGGACTCCCCTGTATATGCTGAGAAGAAAAGAATTCGAGCGTACGTCAGAGCCGAGAGGAGGCGTGCCAAGATGTGGGCTCCGAAGGGAAAGTCGTTGCCGCTGCAGGCTGTGGTCGACCCTGCGCGTTGTGAGGTCCGTGTGTCTTCTGCGGAGATGGCGTCTTCCCTTCGGTCCCACTGGGCCCCTGTTTTCGCCCCCCGCTCGACGCCGCAGAGGCATCTTGACCAGTGCCTAGACAAGCATGTGCATGTCTTTGACTGGTCACTGGCTGCGCCGCCGTCGATGGGGTCGATTGCGTGCGTGATCCATGGCGCGAAACCCACGGCTCCTGGGCCTGATGGCCTTCCGTGCGCGGCATGGCAGCAATCTTCGCTCTCGCAAGAAATCCTATATGACCTAATGCTCGAGCTACTTGCTGGTTTCCCCCCCTCCTGTCTCCCTCAGCGACCTCCTTCTTATCTTTGCACCAGAGGGTCGTGCAGAGCGGGGTAGTACCTTTGTCGTGCGATCCCCGCAGAACACACGCCCTCTTGCCTTAAAGAGCACAGATGTCAAGATTACATCGTCAGCCTGCAACCAGCGAATTACAGGATCGATTGCAACACAAGCCCACAAGGATCAGAGAGGCATCTTGCCTGGTAGGAACTTCCTGGATAATGTGGTGCTTCTGGACTCTGAAGCGCGCATTGCTGGGGTGCACCCTGAGGCTGCGAGCAGAATGCCTTCCCTCCTCTTCCTCGACTTTGGCAGCGCCTTCCCCTCCCTTCTCCGCCAGTTCCTGTGGGCTGTGCTTGCAAAATCAGGCTTCCCAGAAGGATTATTGAGCCTGACCCAATCGACCTACACGTTCGCTGCGGCAAAGATTTCCCTGCTCGGATGCCTCCAGACGTTTTGCAGCATCACCTCAGGCATCGTGCAGGGTGCTCCTGACTCAGGATCGCTCTGGGCTCTAACCATGGACACCCTAATCAGAGGCATGCGCAAAAGGCTGAAGAAACACCCAGGATCGGCCGTGGGGGTGTGTGCGGATGACGTGGGGGCTCTGGTGGGTGATCTTCGGGCTCTTGCGCGTCTCTCGTTTTTGTTTGTATGCGGCAGAATGTTTGGCAGGATTGAAACTCAAGGTACCAAAGTGTAGACTGGTCCCTGTCCACCAAGCCTCCAGCGAGGCGGTCAGGTCCCAGGAGGCGGCTGCCCTTGTGGGGATTGCCCCGCGGTGGAACGGCATACCCATCGTGGGAAGCGCAGAGTATTTAGGCGCGTGGCTCGGTCCTGAGGCGAAGGAGGAGGTGTGGGCGAGGGCGTTTCGGGAGTGGGTGGGGGTCATTCGAAGCCTTGCAGAGACCGCAGCCCCGCCGTCGATCATGATTGCTATGTACAATAGCCGGGCTGCACCGAAATTTGGATATCTTGCTCAGCTGTCTTCGATCCCCGAATTCATTTTTAAGTGGGAATCTTGGGCACTCCATAAGGTTCTGAGGATGCCCCCCATTCTCTTGGCCACTCGACCAGCTGTTGGCCCTCAGACAGTGGAGTAAGCTCAGGCCCTTCTCGCTTCGTGTCCAATGTGCTGCTGCCCTAGTCAGATCTGCCCGCGTTGCCGTCACCAATTGGAAGCCCTTGTGGGCGAGAGTTCGGGCTGCGGCTGAGCGTGCCTCCCCATGACTCAGTACCTGGGTGGATCGTGGTGTCCAACCTTCTGGAAGAGTGTGCCGATTGCCCAAGTACTTGCCGAGGCAGCTTCGGGTTTTCCAGGCTCTGCCCGCTGGCGGGCTCCGATGGCGACTGCGCTCAAAACTGTGAAGGAAGCGCTTTCGGAGAACCCGGGGGCCCCTGTCCAAAAGACGCTGGCCCGTTCGCTGGCTAGCTCATTGTATCAGGAAAATCTGGCCCCAGCGATTTTCAAGCGCCTGGTGAAGTGGGCCTCCCGCCCTCCTTCGAAGCGTGCGCTGGCGGGATGCGACTGGCCCGCGATGAGAGACGCGGAGGCCGAGCTCCCACCTGCATGGCAGGCATCGGTACTTAGAACGGTGGTGGGCGGGTGGACGACGGAGAGGAGGATGGCTCAAACTGATGTGCCGTGCAAATTCGGATGCACGGATGCTGTCGACTCCCAGTCCCGCTATCTTATGTGCCCAGCTTTGTGGGCTGCTATATCCATTGCGTGGCACCCTGAAACACCAGTCGAAGGATACCTGGATGCTCGACTTGGCCTGGCACGCTCCCTGTCACCAGAGAGGCGAGCTATGGCTTTGCAGAGACTGGTTCTGGCTTTTTTACATGTATAATTCAGTAAAGGGACTGGGAGTGACGGTAGACGACGCAGAGATTACAATTCATGCCCGTGCTGCCAGAGCGCAGATGGTGCAACATATGGGAGAGATGGACTAAGGCACACTTCATCCGAGCTGCGTGCGAGGAGGAGGAGGAGGAGGAGGAGGAGGAGGAGGAGGAGGAGGAGGAGGACGAGACGACCACCACCACGACGACGAGGAAGATCAGGAAAACGATAAGGGCAAGGACGAGGATGACAGCGCCCTCCAGATTGCCTCTTTTGAGTCCCCTCGGTACTCTTTTGGATGATCTTGGGGTCGTTTTGGGGCTCTTTCGGGGGGTCTTGGGGCCGTCTTGAGGCCCTCTTGGAGCCCCCCCGGGGGTCCCTTGGGAGCTTTGGCGGGCCTCTTGGGGCCGTCTTGGATGCCATCTATCAGAAGGGGGGAGAGGCCCAAATGCTGCCCCCCCCCTCCCCCCCCCTGTGGCCATCAGCATCGCATCTTGGGGCGGTCCGCTCTTGGGCGCTCCTGGGATCGTCTGGGGGTGCATGTTGGGCCTCCCTTGGGGCTCTCTTGGGCCATCTTGAGGCCATCGTGAGGCCCCAACCGCGCATCGGAAGCGAAAAGGCGAGAGGTCAAATATCAGTAAGTTCCTTAGGTGTTTGATTGATGCTTGCATCTTGGGGGGTCCTCATTGGGGGCTCCGAGAGCACTTGGAACCGTCTTGTGGCCCTGGCCGGGACTTTTGGAGGTATGTCGGAAGCTATCCAGAACCATCGTCGGTTATCTCGAGCCATGTTGGAGGTCATCTTTGAGCATCGGAGGCCCTCTGGGAGCAAGCTTGGGCGAACCAACAACCCTCTAGCCCATCGCGGCCCGCTCCAGAAAACCTCAGGGAGGGAAGGGGGAGGTACCCCTCCCCGAAGGGAGGAAGGTTCTTGGAATATGCAATTCAGATACCGCTATTCCACCTTAGCCCGAAGGGCTTGTGGGATTGTAGTGGCCTCCGTGTCTGCCCACCTTGTGACACTGCAAGTTGCAGGCTTGGCACAACTTGTTTATAATTCATCGCGAGAGGTTCAGCGCAGAGGCATCGGCAGTAGGTGAGGGACGGCCGGCCAGGGAGAAGGGGTGAATGATATTGGGAAGTCGGTGCATGTATTGACTCCTACATTCGTGGTGCGGGAGATGCTCGCAAGGGCTAGTTGTGACGTGCCTCTTTGGGACAAACACAACGCAAATCAATCCACAGTACACTTGAGAAAACCCCAATCAGTGGATGATTTGAACATTAGTCATATGGATCTTGAGGTCGATTGTGAGATCGATAATAGGATCAATAGTGGTATCGATAGAGGACGATTGTAAGGTCGATCGTGCGACCGAGAGTGAAACCGATTCAATGAGATCGATAGGGTGATCGATCGCGAGATCGCTCGTGCGATCTCTAGTGAGATCGCTTGCGAGACCGATTGTGAGATCGATTGTGAGATCGATGGTGAGATCGATAGAGTAGTTGGACATGAGATGCTGAGACCGATCGATAAGAAAATTGACCAGGAACCTGGGAACCTGGGAACCTGGGAACCTGGGAACCTCGCTGCCCACCGAAGTCGGCCCGGGAACCGGGAACCCGGGAACCCGGAACCGGGAACCCGGGATCCCAGCGTGCGACCAAAATCGGCGGGAAATTTTCGCCAAATCTTTCCAACCTCCGCTAGGACCCCTTCAGTGCAAGCACTGATTGTGGAATCAGTGTAAAGTAGCTCAAATCAGCGCGAAAGCAATGCACGGCAATGTACGGTCATGCAAAGTAGGACACGCCGTGCAGAGTAACGCAAGACAATGCAGCGCTATGCAAAGTTATACAACGCAGTGCAAAGCAATGTAAAGCAATGCAAAGCGATGCGGCGACGAGACGGCGGCGGCGACGACGCGGAGACGGGGTGGCCACGGCGGCCACATTGCGGACCGCCGCCCAGGCCAAGACGACGGGAGGCGGCGGGGCGGCGACGGCGACCACAAGGCGGCGCACCCGACTCGCAGGCCTACGTAGACGACGGGCGGCGACGAGGCGGCGACGGGGCGTCGACGGCGACCACATGGCCGCCAGACCGACGCGCAGGCCCAGACGACGGGCGGTGACGAGGCGGCGACGGGGCGGCGACGGCAAACACATCGCCGCCAAACCGACGCGCAGGCCTAGTTCCTTCGAGAACAGTAAGAACCCGTATGTGCAAGCACGCTTTCGGAATAAAAGGTTTATGCGGAGATTTGTCAAGTTATACATGTTCTACGCACTCCACACCAGGTGCCACCTTGGGCTGGGTCCCCAGGGAGCACCCCCGCCCCCTCATGGGCCCCCCCAGGATTCCCTCTGGGCCATTCCCAGCACCCCTCCCGGCGGCCCCCCCAGGCTCCACGATGCCGCTGGTCGCCGCGCCGGGCGCCGGGCCCCACTGGGCCATCCACAGCTAGGAAAAATAAGGACATGCAAACAACAGCACTTGCTCGCTCCAAGCCAGTGTGCAACTTGAAATATGGCCGCGTAAGCGGAGCCACGCACTTGGTTGCATGGCTGCTTGGGGTGATGGGATAAAGAAGCGAGCAGCGATAATGGCGTTGGCGAGAACGTCGGCCGAGCTTTATAATCATCGGGATGCTGCAGTCGGCGTGGTGTGGGGAATGCGCCACTTTCGGTAAGAGCTGGAGCCACGGAGAGGTCCGCGCATCCATGCTCCCCGCCCTTGCCCTTCCGAGACCCTCCGCCGTAGAACATTCACGCGCACATGGGATCGCCACAGCGATGGACGATCGGGGATAGTGGCGAGAACGAGACGGAGGGAGGGACGCATTGGCAGAGACGTATCGGCGGCGTGTCTGTTGCGATCCGAGGGTTGGGCAGGGGTTGACAGGGGCGTTCTGCTTACAACAAGTTCACATCCGTTTGCTGATGGGCGCTCGGTGGTACGCCATAAAATGAGTCCACCGCGTGCAACCTATGAGGCGCGATATAAAGGATCCTGCCGTGTGAGACCGTTTCATTTGGGACCTTGTCGCGTGGGGCCCGACCGTATGTGGCACCCTCTGGGCTCGGGCCATGTCGTGGAGGGCAACTCGCGTGAGACCCCATCGTGACGTGTATGAGCCTCTTGTGTGGGGCCCTATCGGATTGGACTGTCGCGTGGGACCCTATCGCGTGAGTCCCTATCGTGCGGGACCTTACGGTGTGAGACTGTGTCGTGTGGGACCCTATCTTGTGAGACCCCATCACGTGGGACCCTGTTGTGAGGTCCCCTATCATGTGAACTCCCATGGAGCGGGACCACGTCATGTGGATCCTATGGTGCGTGCCCGATCGTGTAAGACTGGAGCGTGTGAGACCCTATCGTGTGTTGGACCCTATCGTGCGGAACCCTGTCGTGTGAGACCCTACTGCGTAAAACCTTTATCGTGTGCGAGATTCAAACGGGGTCCCATCATCAAGTCCCAACGATCGGTCCCACCGAGCGTGCGGCGAGAACCGCCGCCCCCACACGAGAATCACGGGCAACATGGGCAGCTCACTAGAGAGCAAGAGAGAAACCTGACGTGCAAGCATTTTTGGGGAGTTTCATGACAAGCAGCATGAAGTCCTTCGGCCTCCTGGGAGTACCTCGGGAGCTAACTGGGCCGTCTCGGGCTTCCTTGGGGGCGTCTGAGGACGTCTTGGCTAATTTGGGACCTTCTAGGGCCGTGTTGGAGCCCTCTTGGGAGTTTCCTGGGGAGTGTACCGGACCGTCTTGGGCGTCGTGGATGCTGTGTAGAACAGTGTTTGGAAGTCTTGGCAGCCATTGGGGTGGTTGGGGGCCGTCGAGCGTTTATGGGCCGTCTGGGGATGCCTTAGGGTGGTTTTGAGGTTGCCCTAGGGCCATCCTGTGGCGTCTCTGGGACTCCGTGGGGATCCCAGAAACCTTGGAAGCCCAAATCGGGTCGACATAAGTTTGGGAGTTTCGATGCTTTCTGACTCCCAGGGCATCGTCGGAGGCCTCCTGGGACGCCTCTGGGTATTTTCTTAAGCTCCCCCGAGGCGTCTCAAGCGCATGTTGGGCGCTCCAGAGCGTTGCTGGGCCGTTCTGGGCGGGACTTGCAGCAGGGGTCCCGTCTTCGGGTAGTCTTCGCGCCATCTTGGGGCATCCTGGGGCCCCTTGTGGTCACACTGGGGACTCTTCAAGAAATCTGACTCGATATTGGGCACCATCGGGCCACCTTGGAACTCATGAGGACAATTTTGGCGTTTTGGCGGGGCGTTTTTTATTGGCCCCCTCTTGGGCAATATTTGGCGGTCTTGGGGGCCATGTTTGGCGACCTTGAGCCTCGGGGTCCAACATGTGCGCCATCTCGTGCAATACTGGAGGAAGAACGAATCCTCTGTGAGCAGAGTTTGGGCCATCTTCGGATTTTGTGTGGGCAAGAATTGTGAGATACAAGAAACCTCACACAACAGCAAGCTTATCATCATGTTTGGGCTCTCTCAGGGGCCTCTTGCGGCCAACCAAGAGGTAAGTTGGGCCGTCTTGTGTGATGTTGGGGACTTAAATGTGTGACTTGTTCTGTTCCTCGGTCTTTTACATCGCCAGCCCGAGTCGAACAGGCATCTCGGAGTCTTTGCCATCTACGTGTAGGACTCCGCGGGCTTCGCTGTGCTCTTGAGTCGTGAGCTGGCGGGTGATTGCACTGACGCCTCAAAGTGTTCGGTCGCTGCGCAGGCCGTGTATGGTACAGTGCAGTGCTTGTCAGAGCGGTGTCACGATATATGTCCGAGCTAGCTGCACCCATTGCGGGGACATCCATGATATCCAGCCCCCTTCCCACCCTTTCTCAAATCCTGCCGACCTCATCGTGTGCTTGATAGTGGGTGGTCTTTCTGAACTGCTGGCGTTTCTTCGGGTCGTATGTGTGTTTCATGTCTATGTGTCTTGTCCAGTTGACTATTTCTCGCCCGCTGCTCTTTGTTGAGTGTCCTCCGCCGCCGCCGCTGTCATCTCTTCACCCTCCCACTCACTGCCCCCCTCCCCCGCCTGTGTCCTCTCCCTGCCATGCTCATCCTCCCTCGCCTTCGCCGCTCGCCGCGCTTCCTTGGCAGGGCCGGGCGCGGTTACCCCACGCGGCGTGCAAGATGCGCGCTGCCAGACCGTCCGGGCGAGAGGAGCAGCCCTGAGCCCACAAGCTCGCGATGGGCTGCGCAGTGGGGACGTCCCAAGCTGGCAAAGTGCGGGAAGCCGACGCGGAGGTTCGCGGGTTGGGCAGGGGCGTCGCGCGCCTTGTGGATTGCGCCCATGGGCTCACCCGCGCTCCTCGCTTTGCCGATGGCCGCCTCGCTCTGCTTTTCTCCAACCCTCCCGTGGTGCTGGGCGAGCCGACCGTGCCTACGTACTTCCTTTGTCCTCCTCCTCCCGCATCCTTCCTCCTCCCTCCCATGTACCCCCCTCCCCCCACAGGGAGCCCCCAGTGGGCGCAGCGTTATCGCCCCCCCCGTCCCAGAAGTATTCACGAATTCCCTCCCTCCCCTCCCGCCCCTTCCCCTATCCCCACCCCCGCTCCCAATCACTTACACGCACACTCACACACACATGCACACGCACACGCACACAACACCACACACACACACACACACACACACACACACACACACACACACACACACACACACACACACACACACACACACACACACACACACACACACACACACACACACACACACACACACACACACACACACACACACACACACACACACACACACACACACACACACACCACACACACACACACACACACACACACACACACACACCACACACACACACACACACACACACACACACCACACCAACACACACACACACACACACACACACACACACACACACACACACACACACACACACACACACCACACACACACACACACACACACACACACACACACACACACCACACACACACACACACACACACACACACACACACACACACACACACACACCACACACACACACACACACACACACACACACACACACACACACACACACACACACACCACACACACACACACACACACACACACACACACACACACACCACACACACACACACACACACACACCACACAACACACACCACACACACACACACACACACACACACACACACACACACACACACACACACACACACACACACACACACACACACACACACACACACACACACACACACACACACACACACACACACACACACACACACACACACACACACACACACACACACACACACACACACACACACACACACACACACACACACACACACACACACACACACACACACACACACACACACACAACAACACACACACACACACACACACACACACACCACACACACACACACACACACACACACACACACACACACACACACACACACACACACACACACACACACACACACACACACACACACACACACACACACACACACACACACACACACGCACACACACACACACACACACACACACACACACACACACACACACACACACACACACACACACACACACACACACACACACACACACACACGCTTTTCCTGTGCCGTGTCGTTGATATTTTGCGCGGCCACGGGGCATGGCCTCTTCCAGGTTCGAAGGGTCTGGTGACGGGATAACTAAAGCGGGAGGTGGCCACCTTGCGGAAGCTGCTCCAGGACAGCGAGCGAGAGAAGGGCCAGTTGCAGAAGCGCCTCTTGGAGGCCAGCGATTGCCGAGGGTCCTCGTGTTGTGTATTCCTTTCGCTTCGCGCGGTGCACGTCCAGAGCACACAGAGACTGGGCGTTGGGTGATTTTCCCTGCTCCTCTGCCGCGAAGTTCTGCCGTCTCGTTCTGCCCGCCCCGGGTCGTGGCCAGCGCCTCAGGGGTGGATGCGCCCTCCCCGTTTCAGCGCCAGGACGGGCGTACGAAAGTCCACGAATGCACTGAGCATTCACCAGCCGTTAGCACAGGACAACGCGAAGCAACGGTGAGCATAGCAACAACGCGCCGTTCGTATACAATTACGCGGGCCCCTTGGTGGTTTCCTGTGGCCTCTTGGGGGCCCTTTGGAAGCCTCTTGGAGGCTTCTTGGGGGCCTTTCGGGGGCTCCTTGGGTGCCTTTTTGAAGCCTTTGGGGGCCGTTTGGCGCATCTTGGGAGCGTCTTGGACCGTCTTCGGGCGCTCTTGCGCAGTCTGGCCCCTTCGGATGCCGTCTGGGGGGCCTCTCGGGGCCGCTTTGGGGCTCTCTTGGAGTCCTCTTGGGCCGTCTTGTGGGCCCTCTGGGCGGTCTTGTGGGCCTCTTCGGGCCATCTCGGGGCCCTCCTGGGCTGTCCTGGGGCTTTTGGGGGGCGTCTGAGGCCGTCTGGGGGCCATCTCTGAGGCTGCGTGGGCCGATATGGGCTCCGGAGAATTGGAAAAAATGCCAGACACGTTAAATCGCTCAAGTACCGCTAAGGGAGTGTGCATTTTCGTAGAGATATAATAATGCAAACTATAATCTGAACTGTTTGGGGGTGAACCCGAAATCCTGCAGCCTTTTGTTCTGCTCAAGAAAGAACGAACGCCCTTGCTCCTTCCCCCGCTGCCACCGTAGAGTGGCGGATCTTCAGGTTCCAGGACGAGGGGGAAGTGCCGTCTGGCTTTCGAGGAGAGCGAATTCCACGGCGAACACATCGTTACGTGATGTCTAAGTGTGTTTGCATGCGAGAGTTCTAAAACAGCACTCTGGACGGTCAGGGTCGGGATCGACGGATGGGGTCAGTGGGGGAGGGGTTGGGGCCGTCGTCCTCCACCCATCCCCATTGTTTTTTCTTGTCATCCCCGTCACAGGCCGAGGACCGCATCACCAGCACAGCGGCAAGCACCAGCAGTCCCAACACTAAGACCGTCGAGGCGGCAGAGGAGACACGCCGTTCGGCCGTTCCAGAGGGGGAGGACGGACGGATCGTGGGAGGACGCGGAGAGGGTGCAGCAGAGGATTTCTGGGTACCATGCGCTTTTCCTGGGCCAGCTGCTAGCGAAGTAGCGAAGGGTGTGAAACGATGGGAGGAGGAGGAAGAGGAGGAGGAGGAGGAGGAGGAGGAGGAGAGGAGGAGGAGGAGGAGGAGGAGGAGGAGGAGGAGGAGGAAGAGGAGGAGGAGGATCTCCTCTCTGCGGCTTTCCACGTTTCCCTTCTCTTCTCCCTACATTCCCTCCCTTCCCCCCGACTCACTCCCACTGCATCTCACCTTAATTCGCGCTTCACCTCACCAGCTTGCCCGCAGGGCGCGATCCACTGGGGATCGTTGATTAGGGGAGGGCGCAGAGATATTATGTTGCGCCTGTTTGTCAGACGCAGTTGCTTCGGTACGTATGCCATTTCCAACCGCATGGGTTGGGGTACCAGGGAAAGCATGTTATGTGATGCATGCCAGGAGAAGGCCATGATAGGCAGTGAGCAGATCATGGTGCGAGGGACGCCTGATAGTACGCCACGTCCAGCCTTCCACCAGCTTCAGCCAAGGGAAACCTAGTGCTAGCAGTGCGTACGATTGATGTCGGAGCAGGATGTTCAGGCTAACGCTCTCCCCTCCGAGAGGCGCACTAGCGAGGTTTCGGGTCGAGATGCAGAGGTCGAACTTTCCAGCAGAGCCTCTCAGGACCTGGTGCCGGCGGAGGTCTTGGCAACCGAGGCGAATTCGCTGGGGGCCAAGGGCTCCATCGAGCCCGACCCAAATAAGAAGGGCAGCGCGGAGGTGGCCACCGATGAGGTCGCTGGGCTTCCTGGCATGACAGGGAGCACCGTTGCCAGGCGCGCCGCTTCTCTGCTGCCGAGGCTGCGAAAGGGGTCGCCTGGATAGGACTAGATGTGCAAATCCTCTCGGAGGTTCGTGCTGCATTGGGAGGATGGTCGCAGAGGATTGGGCCACCATATGGGAAGCCACGTGCTTGCAACCTCCCTCCGCGCATTTGTTGCTCCTTCGGGAGTGGCTGCCATCTGGAGTGCGGCTTGGGTGCCCCAGCACCTACTCGTCGTTCGTGGGTGATTCTTTTTGGAAGACGGACACGTGGAGGAGGAAGAAGTTGAGGGAGAGAAGGAGGAGGACCTGAATAAAACAATGATGCATCACATGCTTTGCAATACACCCTCCCGTCCCAGAACCCCCCCCCCCCCCCACATGCCCGTACACCAATTCCTCTGCCCTGCTGGAAGCCCGCCTCGCACAGCCAGGGGCTCCCAGTGGCAGCCCCTCACTCCACGCGCCGTTTCCCTCCACCCGTCTAGCAGAGCAGTATGCAACAGGATCGACCCACGAACCCAGACAAGGTTATATAGAAATGTGAGGCATGGCAACATGTTCAAGACATCTGATTGGGCGACAGGCAACTTCAATACTGAATGTATCGATTTTGATGTACCGTGCCAAGGCCTGTGCTGTGCTGTGCCGTGCTGAATTGCGATGTGCCATGCCGCGATTGTGCTCGGTAGCGTTGTGGATCGAGTCCTCCTTAGCATCCGAGTCCTGACCGAACTGATCTGGATCGCAAGCCCAAGCTGCCTAAGCACATAGTAGCCGCCCCAGAGCTAGTTGAAGTGGAAACGTGGAGGCCATTCAGTCAACTCAAATTCAGAATCCCACTCAGCTCCGAAACATAACGAGACGACACGGGGCACAGGCTCACGAACGCGCCACAGGATGTGCCAGGGGCGCAATAGGGGATGCGTGTCAGGGGACGTACGTGCTTTGATGTCAGGGACCTGCCACGGG